TTACTAATACAAACAGAGCTTCTGCAACATCTTGAATTTTTATTCTAGCAATTATGTCATGAGTCAAGCTTAAAGAACCATGGAACTCCACTGTTTTCCACTGAGAAGTCAATTTTATTTCACAAACATTATTCTTGGAAAATATTTAAGTACTGTGGTATACAACAAAACAAACAACAAAAAAAAAAAACAACCCATGCCCCAAAAAAATAAACTCCACACCACAGAATTTCAGTATAATTTGATAGTTTTACCATATGGAAAGCATTCATGATTATTCTACCATATACGTGCCATAGGAACAGCTTAGCCCAAACCAGTATGCACTTTAGCACACTTGGCATTCACATGACCAGGCTTTAAGTTTAAATAGATTTGAGTACCTAAGTTTCATCATTGACCTTCCAAAAATACCAGGCCAGCACTCAAGGTTACAGTCTGTTTCCAGTGAACTGCATGAACAAAAAGCTAATAGCAGTGATTCCAGCCCAGAGCTATAACACCTTCCAGCCGTGAACTATGTTTGCCCATCTCTCAGATTCCAGACTTACATCAGAAATCTCATGCAACTGTATTGGTGCAATAAGCTCTATGTTGTGAATAAAGTCCAGTATGTTTAAAAATCTGAAAGTAAGCTCACCATTCATGTTTTTTTCCACTGCAGGTGAACCTCCACAATCTTCCCCAATACCAGATATGCATATTCAGCAACATTTAAATAGTAAGGCTGAGCTAAAACTCAGATATTCTTCAGTTACATAGTGATTCAAAGACAAAGATTTTACATGACAGAAGGTTAGAAACTCTATATACTTAGGGCCAGAGGGCAAAAACATACTGATATTGCAGAGTTGAAAGATGTATCAAGTAGCTTCTAAATTTATTTTCTGAATATATATCAAAGCAATTAACTGAATCTTCAGGAAGTTCTCAGAGGCAAATTATAATGTCTGGCTAGACAGCAAGGGCAAGACCATATTTCACAATTTGTTTCAGAAGGTTTACATACTGTTTAAAAGAAAATTATGAGATATTTTAAGTTAAAGTATAAATAAATTACATCACTCCCCAGGTCACTCCCGTTATATATTGCTAAAAGGACAATTGACATTTTTTCATGTCTTTCACCAGAAAAAGCCCTTTCCCTCTGTTTACATAAACAGTAAGATGACAGTGGCTTCCTCAGATAACATCTCTATTTAATCACTAGGAAAGTAGGTAAAAAGGTCCTGCATTCCATTTCAATTTTACAAGTAAATATTCACATTTCTGGACAAAGAGAAGTTGCTAGTTTATTTTATACCAGACTGCAGAATTTATGTCCTCCTGGAAAAATAGCTGGATTCCTCAGAGTCCATATAATTTCTAGTTCAGTTCTCTTCTGATTCTATTGCTATTCACGAGTAAGTCTAAAATTCTGTCATAACCTACAAAACTACAATTTTGTCCTGAATTAGAAATTCTAATCCAGTGGATCCTCTATTTCTTAAAAGTCACATCATGCAGCAAAGTCATATCAAATCAGTATCTCTAATTCTTCATTCTCCTAATATTTTTTGGATGTTGCAGGAAGTTAATGTACTAATGTAGCTCAATCAATGATCTTTGTTCCTGTGCAAAGCAGACAAGTAGTGCTGAGGTGAAAACAGCCAGCACAATCTAATTTGAGAAGCAACTGAAAGAGAATAAAATATCAGCAGTAAAGCATTGACATGATGTTCCGTGCAAAGACAGTCTGTAACATTCCAAGGGCATCCATAAAAACAGAAGATTCAATCAACTGCATCTACAATAAGACACAAGTAGGGAAAAAAAAACATTAAAAATGAGGGTTTTTTAAAGACAGACATAAACCCCCCACATTTTTGCATAACCAGGATACCAATTTACACTACTGGCAATTCTGCTGTGAAAAGTCTATTCAGAAAACTTCAGGGTCATAACATGCTTGTATTAGCCAAGAAATACATACTTCCTAAACATCTGGAAATTTATGAAGACTACTCAAAAGAACTGCTTAAAAATTGGCCTAGATTTAGCTTAATGGTAGGTAAGAAAACAGATGTTAACAGCCTCTATATTCTAAACACTGCAGGAGTACCATACAGTGGTTGTTTTGGACACGTCAGATAAAAACAGGACAGGAAGTCTCAAACTATGCCTCTATAACTGACTCACTGTTTAGATGTCCTGAACGTCCAACAGAGACTGTTAGGAAATGCTGGACACGGTTTAGAAACATATCATTCCTTTAAGAAAAGAAAACAAAACAGAAGCCGCTACACAGCTTTTGTTAGCGACACCGCTGTATACCTGAAAGCTGGGGAACAATGTTTGGGGACTTGGTGATGTGTGACTTTTATACAGAATTTGTTTGGTTGAGTTGGCTATACATGGACAGAGACTTGCCAACATTTTGATGGTTGTTCCTGCCACTGAATAAGCCTTTGTCTTTTAAAGTAAGGGTTCATCAGTGCCTGAGGAGCAAGGGATGTAATACACTGACATTTTCAGCAGTTATCATATGTTTCAATCCCTAGTTTCAAAAATGAGGGCTGCACAGAGAGCTGTGTAAGAAGATGACCATAAATCAGACTGTAGACAAGTGGCAAGAAACCTTTCCTACAACAGAACACTGCAGGTGTGAATGCCTGTGACTGAAAAACAAGACCAACTCTCACTGTATGGAGGACAGAGAGGAAGTAAGGGTAAGAAGAAGAGAGGAGCAAATGACCTGACTTACTAAAATTGGGGAGGGTGTATCAGTGTTAGCAAAGAAACTATAGGCAAAATTTAAAGCAAAGTAGCAATGCTTTTGTTAACCAAGTAACAATCCCTCAAAGTGTGACCAAACACTGGCTTGCAACATCTCCCATCTCCTTGCTTAAAGGAGAATGCCCTGCCAAAAAACCCGAACTCGCAAGCCTCTTCAGCACTGTTTCAAATAAAATGTATTTGAACTTTTCCCAGTAGTATCCACAAGCAATAAAGCTAAACACCAGTTAAGTTAGCCAAACCCAGCAACTTTCATGTCTGCTACACAAGATGACATTGACAATGTTACATCATTGTTATAATGCTGTCCCAGGAACAACAAAGATTGAATGAGGGGTGACAACCTGGCTGTGTTGCTGTTTCAGTGTGTTCGATACAAATGCAAACTATTGTTTTCCATCAGCAAACAATCAGCTTCTCAGTAGTCAAGTATTTGAAAGTTTTCATACTAGCATTGATGATAGTAATTAATGGAATTCTCCACTGTTTCAAGGCTTCTAGGCATGCTGATATAATAAAAGATCAAACTGGGAAAAAAACCCAATAGTTATATATATTTGCCTTTTTTTTTTTTCTCACCCCTTACAGATATTTACTGAACCACTGTACAAATAGACACAACTTTAGCAACGGGAAACAGCAACAGCCAGAAACAACTGAATTTGTACTTCATGTGCTATGCTCAATACACAAGTTTTATCAAGTTTAAAAACTGTAATCAGCTGTTGATAAGTGAAAAGTACTGACTAATGGTGGAAAAACAAAAACCCAAAGTGGGTAAGAACCCTGCAGCTTAAATAAAATAGTAACTTCTTCAGGGAATCAAACCACCTCTGATGGCTCCACAATTTACTGACACCATGGCATCAGGAATGCGACAGCTTATTCAAGTACAGCACCTTACACTGTGATCAGATAATAAAAAAAATAAGAAGCTGACTTGACCACATTACAGCACTACAGATGGTCTCTGCTTCAACAAGAGGTTGTAAGGAGTCAATCAAAAGCCACATTCCAGTTGTCCTGGCTCTGAGGAGGTCCCACACCACTCCAGGAGAGCAGCACAGGGCAGTTTTGGTATAGGTCATCCTCATTTTAACAGGTGACCTTTCACCCTTAAAATGATATCTCAAGTTAACACTAGAATAATCAATGTATTGATGGCTTTCATCGCCTGTCAGAATAACATCTCACAATTTGAAATTTCCCTTCAAAACTATAGTGCAAATATACATCAAGTATAGGGAAGGAGAAAAGCACTACTTAGCAAATGTGTACAACAACAAACACAATAAAATCACATCACACACACAGTCCAGAATAAACACTTTGATTTCAAAACTCAAAAAAAGTAACACTGGCAGAAAGAACGCAAAACTTCATCTCCACACAAACCCATTTAGTGAACAGCGAGCTGCCTGCCCCCAGTCCAATCTACTTGCTGAAGTTTCACAGCAGAAAAATATCAGATAGCTGGTGCAGCTGGAGGCTGTTAACTTAAAGAATTTAAGTTCTTCCAATTGTGCAGTGTAAAACCACACACTTTGTTTTAATTGTGAGCTTTTACACTCTAACTGGAAGAATTTAGAAATGCACTACAATTTATGTCTATTAACTGAAACAACCTTTGTATTTTCTTGGGGGCATAAAAATTCCCATAAGATTATGCATTAAAAATTTGGTTTTATAATTATTTTTATAATGTTGCTGCAGTATATAAGTTCTTAAACACATTCAAGAAGAGAAGCTTCTGAGAATTTCTGAGAAGCTTCTGTTCTTTTACCCAATGCCCTTATCTTGCACTAGAAATCTGGTTTAAAAAGTTAGCTAGTAAGAGCTCAAAACATTTCTTTTCACAAAGGCTGTGCAAGATCCAGTACCATGTTTATCATGACACTGAGTCTTATGTGAAATAAATCAAATAAGGGAATGGTCTGATTTACAAGAAAATCAAGGAAAAGCTGTTAAAAAAAAAAAAAAGTGACTGCAAGTCTTCCAAATACTGCAAATGTCTCATGTGACAGACAACTGCAAACCAGAAAGCTACACATAGTTTAATCCTTCTGCTGAATGTATACTTTGGAATCATGCATAAGAGATCAAATTAAGTTTAAGCAATGAATCAAAAGAAACAATTTAAAAAGCTAACACCCAAGCCACAAGATGTAGGTTCATTTAAAGCAGCCCATTACCAAAGGTATTGAAACAAAATAAACAAGACCCACACTAATAGCTGGGAGGTCACGAAGCTCCTGTCTTCCTTCTATCCCAGTGTGCTCACTCTTGTAATGTTCAGACAGATCAGTGGGAGTTACACACACTTTCATACATAGTGGACAGATGAAGCCCTGTGAAATGTATATTTGTTTTTAAGAAACTAATAAAGACCAAGAAAAAAAAAAAAAAGCAGATCTGGAATCAAAAGTTCACATTCTTATGCTGAAAGTTCTCTACAATCAAAAGCAAAGTCTGTTTTCCTTTCAGAAAGATAGCTTTTGTAAACACATAATACTATAGAGAAAGCAAGAAGGAACAGTTATTAAGGACATAAAAATAAACAAATCTAAAACATGCCTTAAAAGCTAGCACCATGCTAGCTATACATTTTCCAGAAACTCTTGTTACCCCCTTCATGTGACAGAGGAATAAGCTGTGTAACAAACTGTGAAAGGAGCATTACTGGGCACATCCATCATGAGGTTTCCCATAAGAGTGTTCAGATGTTTTACAGAGAGAGGTAACGGTGGTGTGGTGAGGTTGCAGAAACACCTCTATAAATTAATAAGCAAGTTTGCAACAGCAGCAGGTGAGGCTGAGGCAAACCTGTCTAGCTAATGCAGGCACACAACACCAAGAAAAGCGTAATCTCACTGGTAGACTCACTGCAAACATGGAGTATTTTAAGCAACCCTGCACTGCAGACAGAGTTATACTAGGACCTAAGGTACACAGGTAGGACAGACTCAAATATTTCCTCCTTGGGCACATTGCACAATGAATAAAAGAGGTATTTAGACTTGATACGAGCCTATGTATGACCTAAGTGCTCATATGGCCACAGATGGGACTTAAATTTTCATCTCTTCTTGAGCATTTTGAATTCAGACCTCCCCATTTGTTTTGTTTCATAGTACAATTCTCAAAAATCAGGATTTATTTCAACCAGGCTTGAGGAGGTAGAAAACATATGAATCTGCACAATCTAATAATTATTCTTCATTTGAATCTTGAAGTAACACAAACTAGAAAATCTAGCCAAGAAATTGGAGTAAAACAAGTTAATGGATTTCTGACTACATAATGCTGGAGAACCAAGTGGGAACATAATGATAAAACAAAGACCAAACGTTCTGCAGAGACCAACTATGGTGCTCCTGAAGAGAAGTTCCAACAGAAACAACACCTCAAGCCAGCTGTGCAGGAAAAGGAAGACTCACACAAAGATTTGAGTTGCATGCTGTAATGCAAGAATCTGAGGAGAATAAAAACCCATCACCAGGTGCAGAGCTCAGTTTGAAACAGACTTTGAACTTCTTTGCTAAGTATAACACCCAACTTGTAACTAATGCAACAAATAGTGGGATTATTGACAACCAGAAGATACTTTTTCATGTTATTCATGCATATCAACCAAGACTGACAAAGTAGTCTTTGGTCTGACCCAATTTTGTCTCAGTAGCAAGAAAAGCCAGTGGGGCAATAGTGCAGGTCCAACACCACTTTGAAATCTCATCCGATGTTAAGAAAATACTGTTGTACTAGTACCTTGTGACACCCACCAGCTGTACAGTCAGCTATCTTGCAGTCATGTTAATAGAATTGTACAATTTTAGCCAAACTTTGGAAAGAAGCAACTATCTCATTGCACATTTTCGTGCCTTAATTAACTACAAAAGTAATAAGATTTTAGTCTGCAATTTAAGAATATTTATTTGTTTCAGGTATGGCTAAATATGCATACAAAACAGATCTAGACTCAAAAATATGTAACATGTACAACATGCAGCAAAATATTAAGGGATGTCTGATTACACTGACTGCAATAAAGCTTCAAGAAATCAGAAACAAGCAGATGCATAGATGGAAGGACATTAGGATTTTAAACAGCATAGTGAAAGTTTCTCTAATCTCTTATCATAGCCCAAACAGAAGTATTTGAACTGTCACACACTTTATTCAGCGTAAGAAAGGGCACTTTCCTCCCTTTAATGTTGTAATAGGAGTAATTAACCTTGCACTGTAGTTGCATACTAAGCTCAAAACATTTTCAGGATAGGTCATCAGGCTACATTAGCACAAACTAGCTTCAACAGCCAGCGAAGTCAGTTTGCATTTTTCAGAGTTAATATTTGACAACACTGTAAATCCAAAGACATTATAATGTGGGATTGAAGCAAGAACAACAACTTATTCTGCTGATTAAGTATGGCATACAGCATATAAAAAACTGATGGGATTTACATGTGGTAGATTTAACACCAACACCAAACAAACCCAACATATTTGATATTTCACGAGAAGGACGAGGTTTCCAGTATACATTACAGCTTAGCAGAAGCAAGGTGAAAATGGAGTTAAGCCTTGTTTTCTCAGTTCTCATAAAAGTTTTACTAACAAGGAGTCTTAAGCTTACATTTCATTGATTTTAATTTTAATAATTCATCTCTAGAACTATGGGAAGGATTGCTTGTGACAACTTAAACTGATAAACCTAATTAATAGTTACATATAAATATAGCCTAGCCTTCCTTTTTTTTATTTAAATAACAAACAATTTTTAGAAGATGACACTTGCAAGTATTTATTTAGTACAGCTGTTATTTAGGAAGGGCATCAAAAGTTGCTCCTAACAGGTTCATGCAGCAGAGAACCAGCAACAGCAACCATGGTTTAGAACGCCAGCCCCATGTATGGTGCACAGTACCTCAGAGGAGCCTTCGTTGTTCACATCAACGGCATTTCCAGGTGTGGCAGATGAATCCGAATCCGAGCTCTGAGACCCGCCTCTGCCTGGAGTCTGAAATAGATGGGGAAGAGAAAAATGAGTGTTTACATTTTAATATTTAATAAATATTTAATAAAGTATAGTATCGATCCTATGCAAAGGCCTCTCTTCTACTTGCTGGAATACAGAAGTATTTTCCCTTCACAACAGTAATGAAGCGAACAAGCTGACAAGCAATTATACAATTTTCAGCACAACATTTCAACAAAAACTTTTACTCAAGACTTTCCATACATAAAGGGACAAGCAGACACCATAAGCAAAGGCCAGGATTTTAAACCCTTTCCTCTCATGAATGCTCAACACAAAACAAAAAATCTGGTTAAACTCTGCCCTTGTATCACTCTTGCTGATGTTAAATTAGGTCTCTGTATCCTATAGGAAACCACTAGATATTAAAATCTAAAAAGTATTCTACAAAGTATCACACTACTTTCCAATAACTTGTCTACAACATGAACAAGCCTTTAAATATTTGAAAGACAGAAAACTAAAGTGTGAGGACCCTGCTGATTCAGCAAGCACACAAGCAGGTACGCTACCTTGATTCCTAAAAAAATTAAAATAATAAAGTCTCTGGTAAAGTTAAAACCTATTAATCAGTAAGACAGCCTATAAAGATACACTCTTATGAATATGCTGAAAATCAAAATAGTATTGATTTGAAACCATAGGTTTAGATAAAACAAGCAAATAAATTTTAAATAGTACATGATTCAAAATCTAAATAGATGGATTGCCTCTTATAATTGTTATTTAACTGTAACTTCGATTTAAATTTCATTCAACTTCTACTCATCTCCAGAATATCACTGCTTGACTCATGGCAGAAGAGTTAGCATTCTCAAAGCAAATAGCAGGTATTATCTTAATACAGATATGCAATCATAGTTTCAACAAACAAAAAGTTCATTATCTAATTCCCTTACAGCAAATGGGATGAAGTAATGCTACCTCTGTATTTTAACCCATCTGAAAACACATGTAATGTTATAAAGGATTTTATCTTTTAATATAGGAGGAATAAAGAATTTAAATATATAGATTGAAATCTACAGAGCGAGGGATGGAGTAGAAAAATAGTTTTAGTTTCCAGATCTTGGTGTCTCCAAAATCTTACTTGATTTGGAACTTTCTTGCTCAAATAAATCCTTTTTTTGAAGACAAATCTGGCCTTTCATACAGCATCTGCAGCACACATGCTTTTCCATACTTTGAGAATTAAATACATTTTCCTGCTTTGTTTTAAAAAGCATGTTCTATTTTCAACTTTCATAAAGATAACACCCTTTTATTAATAATCAAATAAAAAATATATAATAAAAAGGTCAAATTTACTGATGAAGGACTTAATTCCCAGTGAGATACATTTCAGTTTTAGAAAAGCTCTGAAGACTGGCCAAAAGGAGGGGGGAGGAGTGAAACAACAAGCTATGGGGCCTGGTGACACTAAAAGAAGACAACCATTCCTCATTCCAGCTTTCTCTGAGGTCAACATTTATGTGATCAACATATGCTGTTTTTCCTAGTCCATGTCTTTTTCATTTTAGCTGTTTTATATTTCTAAAGAAAATATGAACAGGTAGTTTCCTTCTAGTACAGCATACAAAAGCAATGGGCAAGGTGATGCAAGCTCTGCAAGTTAGTAACAGGAGAGGCAAAAAAGGGGGTAAGCAGAGATACAATGCACATGGCAAAACACATCAAAGTGAAGGCATTGGTAATTACTGTCCTCCAGGTCACTGATATAGACAGTAAACAAGGCACAACCTAGCATGGACCACAAGTGCACACTCAACAGGTTTCTATATGACATCAAACTGGGAAGACCAGTCTGCCATTAGGAGGAACCTAGATGGGCTGGAGGAATAGGCCATTGGGAATCTCATGCCATTCAACAGGGACAAATGCAGAGTCCTGTGCCATGGAGGGAAAAGCCCTGGCAGCAACAGAGGCCTCCCTGCTGAAAAGGTCACTGGCCTCGTGTCAGACAGCAAGCCAAACAGGAGCCAGCAGCATGCCCTGGCAGCAGAGCGGGACACCAGAACCGTGGATTGTTTAACAGGAGCCCTGCCAAACGACCAAGAGGAGCAATCACCCCCCACTGGCCGGCACCATTGGACCGCATCAAGATGCTGCATCTAGTTTCAGTTCTCCCAGTCCAAGGAGGACACTGATAAACCAGAGTGAGTGGAGGAAAAGGCCACCAAGACATCTGGGGATGGAGCATCTTCCCCATAAGAGAGGCTGAGGAAACAGGGCTGGATCAGCCTGGAGCAGAGACAGCTTTGGGAGGGCAAAGCAGCAGTCATACCACCACCTTTTGAGGAGGTCATCAAAAGCAGAAGCCAGGCTGGCTTGAGCACCACACAGTGGGAGGACCAGACACAGAGCTGAAATGAGAGGTTCCACTGGATGTAAAAAACATATTTTCCAGCGTGAGGCCAGGCCTAAGCAGCCTGCTCCTGACCTCCAAGCCGGTCCTGTTCACAGCAGGAGCTTAGACTAGAGAGCTCCTGAGCTCCCTTCCTGCCCAAATTGTTCTGTGGCCTATGAAGTGCTGCTCACAGAAACACACATCCTGCAGGAAAGCTTTGAAATACAAGTTTAGTAACTCCATTAATGAGGATGTGGATTGTGTGCACTGACAGTCAGAATAATATCTAAAACAATTGGTAAGGTGTAACCAAGTTTCCCAGTAAGACAGCAAAGTCAGAATATTGCATCCCATTTTCTTCATTTTATTTCCAATTTTCTCCAATTTTAGTTCCAATTTTTCCAATTTTAGTTCCAATAACCAATTTTCTCCATTTTATATAGTTCAGAAGTTCCTTTCCATGCAATACATAATCCACAACCATGCAACCCAGCAGTAAGGCTCACTTGTGAATCCACTTTGTGCAAGAACAAATAATCCAGAGAAGATGCATAGATAGATATGTCTACATAAGGGAAAATTAGGAGGTCAATGTCAAAGCTTTCTTCCATAAAGGAGATGAACTCTCATGATAAAAGAATAAATTTCTTATTGAGAGAAACTTTTAAAAATGCTTTAGAAATCTGAAAAATCAAAAGGTTTTCATATGCTAGTTAGCTATGGTGGCTGTTTGGTTCTAGAAAGCCAGAAAACTTGGACCCCTGTCTGTCCCAGTACCTAAATGCACAAGTGGAAATGGGATGTTTCAAAATGGAGAAAGTGTCAGCATTAACGGATATGCATATCTTTACTAATGCTTTACATGAAAAGGAAGCCTTTTGTTTTACCCTTCATCTCCAAAAACTGAAGAATGTGCCCTCACGTAGCCTTGGACAGAAACAAGCGAGCAGAGGGACAACCTGAATAGAACTCGATGGCCTGGGCAATGGCAGTAACAGATGGTCCAACTGTCTGTTTAGATCAGCAGCATATACCTCCACTTTTGCAATACCTGAGTAGATGCTTTCAGGACACCTAACAAATAATTTCATTACAAACCCAAGAATTTTCTACGACAATTAACATAGTATTTTCTTCACCTCATAACTCCCTACACAATACTACTGTACATTGTTAATCACCCATCCCATTTCACACCAGTGCTTACTGCATTTTGCATTGAGATTCGTGTATTAAGTTCTGCTAGTTCTAGCACTACAAATTTGAGATTATTACAACCTCTAAGATGCAAGTTCTTATATTAAAAATACAGGGTTATTACTACATGGTTGATTAAAGTATATGCTTTGTGAAATACTTCAGACATGTTATAATCACACTAATAGGTACCACACAGCATGTCTTATCGCATGCATTATATGATAGAAATTATTATAAAGTACAGGTAAAATCCTTTTAACCTTTCAAAAATCAATGTGAACTCTTTAAAAGAGAAAGCATAATTCCAAGTCAGATTTAGAAAGCCTAGTACAAATAGATGGCATTTTCTGGTAAGTGCCATGCACAGGAAAGAAGGGTGGGAAGATGTCATTAAGTAACTGCCAAGTTACAGTCCGTAGCACCCATTAGCAAAGTACACAGAGTAGCAGGAAAAAAAAAAATTGGAATGATGTTATGGAAGACAAGATGAAAGATCCAATTAACTTATCTTTCAAGGCTGTAATGTAATTTAAACATCCTTCATCATTCAAATAAAGAATGGGAGATTGGGAAATTTTTTTTCAATCGATCATTGCATCATCAAATCAGTTCATGCACATGGTTAAGCTATGCTCACATACCACTGTTATATCACATTCCATTAAAAAAAAAAATCACAACACATTGAACAACTTGGACTTTGTGATCTAAGGAAAGACTCAGAATGCCACTCTTTGTTTTCAGATGGCCTATACAGGGAAGCATAATAAATAATGGCCAGTCTTCGCGAGCGAAGATCCGGGGAAGGTCTTTACACCTTCCAGCCTGCGCATTGGATTTTTAGGTGAGACACAGTGTGCGCGGAACTGAGCCCACCCTTTAATCCTAAGGTTCATCTGCCGGGGCCAAGCGAGCTTGGACAGTGGCAGTGAGGTCCTTAGGACGTAGGTGGGTTGCCTTTAAGGGCTAACGAGCCCCACCTGCCCGGGAGTGGCCCTGACCGGGAATCGAACCCGGGTCTCAGCGGTGATAGCGCCGCGCCTTTACCACTAGACCACCAGGGGCTCACAGGGAAGCAACTGAACGACTTACTAACCCAAGAGAAAATTTCCACACAGGCTTCTGTAAAATGTATTTTTACAAAATTAACACTTGACCCCTGAAGACAAACCTGGAGTTGAAAAACTGATGCTAAATTACTCTTTGATCCAGCATATTTGTCTCCTAGTTGTCCAAGTTACATTTGTTTACTTTGCGAAGAAACACGTTTCTACTACTAGCTCTACAGTTGTACAATATGCTAAACTTCATAACGCCATTCTCTGTGTTTTCTCAAAATTGCAAGCTAATAAAAAGAAACATCATTAACAACAAAAAGGATGACAATGATTGCAGTTTGTTTTCTGAAAAGGTAGAGAAAATTATATAATGAATGACTTGAGTTTAAGCTTTAAAATGACTGAGAATAAATACGGAACACTATAGCATCATTTTTGCATATTCATGTATCTGTCTGTAGCTACATTCCTTTCAGTTATGATACTCTTTTCAGCAGTTTTAAATTCAGAATAAATTAAAACCTTTGAAAAAATATGTAAAGCCTTGAGAAAATGTGAACAAATACAGACTTAAACAGTTCATCCAGTACAGATTTAAATACAAAATAAGGGTACTAGTACAACCATAAAAAGGTCCTGAAGCAACAAGCAAGACAGGAGAATGAGAGGGTAAGAAGGCCAAAGCTGTTATCAAACAACTCTCAGAGCTAGAAACAGGGTAACCTGCAAACCAGAACATTAATATCATTTACTTCTAAAGAACTGTGATGCTACTTTACGACTCTGTAAAATTAAGCTACTCCTGACTTCACAGGGCATAAAGCCTTTCTTTCCCATTGTGCCATCACTTTCACAAAATTAGACCTTACACCCAAGAATGGGCACACATGCTCCCTCTGATTCCTCAGGAGAGGGTACAAGCACAGTTGCATTTCAGCATCCATCCAAGTAAATATGCTATCTAGCAAGCCCTGCGATTATAAATGTAAAAAGAAAATCATACGTAAGGCATGAGATGCAATGCATCCCAGATAAGCAAATATATCTGTTCCCAAGCTTGGAGTAAGAGAAAGGTGACTGGACTACCTGAACTACAGAAACGCTTGCAAATTCCTGTTCTCCCCCAAGGCCTCGAGACCAAGAATTCAAACATTAGTTAGAAACAATGAGCAAAAGAAACTTACCATTTAACCACAGCACAGTTGCCAACAGTTGTAGACATCCAGTTAAACACAAAGAATGAAGATAAAAATTAATGTAAACAGTAGTCACTGGCCCAGTAGATGAGCCTTTCACTTAAAAACATGAGTAATGGTAAGAATTCTCAGAAGGAGGTCAAAGTAATCAGTTTTCTGTCAGCTGAAAATAAATGCCTCCTCCTTGCAAATACAAAAAGTGAGCTCTGCTTTAACAGATCAGAGGCAACAGCCACTGGCCCACTAGAGATGAACAACAGAGAGGACATAATGCCCACAAAGGGCATTCAGAGTTGAACACAACAAAGAAAAGACAGCTCTACGAGGAATCCACTGATAAAACCCAAACTCTCTGAGCAGGAAAGTTGTGCCTCAGACATTCCACACAGATTTCAGAAAATCCACATAGACCTTTTGGGAAAGACCACCTTTTTCTAGATCAGCATGACAATATATGAAACAAAGAAACGGTAAGAATGAATGAAAAGGGCTTTAATGGTACAAATGTACAAAACAGATGGACCCCTGAGATGTCACACCAAAAACATACACAAAATTTAGAAACAGTTTGTAAGAAAAGAACCTAAAATGTGGATCTAATTGAAGACCACATGGAGATACTAACTTCAAAAACTAAATGAGCAATGCGAAATATATAATACTTTCTATTTTGAAAATATACCATTCAAATTCACAGTGAAGGTACTTTTAAAAACAGAAATTACAACTGTGGAAGAGAAAAAAAAGGTGATCCAGGTACAGAAGCAGTATAACAAAGAAACATCTGATGTTTCAAAACATCAGGAATCAGAACTTCAAACAAGTAACTAAAACTATAAACCATATCTTTGTACCTGTGATCCTCCTTGACAGCCATCTGAGTTACAACAAAACCGAATTTAATAAACAATTCCTTTTTAAAAAACATTCTTTCACAACTCAAGTTATATCACCAGTAATGACTAGCTCTTGGACTAGGAAGGATGGTATCCCCTATAATCAATTAATAAACCAAATAGATATATAAGAAACTATGTTTCAGTGAATGGAAGGCAGGGAGTTTTTTGCCAGTTATATTAACGATGCACAAGAAAAGGATCAAGAGGAGGTTCCTTAGCCTTCAAATTACTGATGAGACACATGAAAGATCTGAATAATTATGTTCTTTATGAAAATATCTGACAGCTCCCAAAAGTTCACTTTTAATATGAAAGCACAGTAGAAGTATTTTTCACAACTTGCCAACCAGACTGTAAGTCAAAAAGGTATGTATGTATGAGGTTGTGCTTGCAATCACTATTTTTACAAAATGCCTACTGTCCCTTTTAATAAGAGGTAGATTTTTAAAAGCACAGTTATTTTCACCAAGTAAAAGATTAACACCTTTAAAAATCTTGGCATTTCTCTATTTCATTTTTGGGCAGGAAAAAGTCTGTTTCACCTTTGTTGACAATTAGCTCTGCTGTGATCTTGTAATTTTCAGGAGCAACTGGAGAATAGTTATTTGTTCAAAGTTTTCAGAAAAGATGTCTAACGCACAAAAATTTTCTCACCAATTTTATTAGATTTGTATAGGAACTGTTTAGCTGTGTTTATACTTAGGGGCAAATATCCTTTGGCACTGTATCAAGTTTTTTCCTCTTTCACAGAAGCTTTCCTCGACGGCCTCTTAGAATCAATAAACACCCAGTTACCTACTGCCAACATTTAATTAGGTCTGCACTAAGTTTCCCTGCTCGTTAGCAGGGCTTCCCATCAAACTTAGGGAAGGAAGTTCTTCCTTGTAAACACGAAGCTCCAAATAGGCCAAGTTCTTCACCTGCTCAGGGTCTATCACCGAAAAACAATTTGAAGCATATTTTACATTGAAAAAGTTGGCAGTGTGCTTACTTTATTCCCCTGTGATAACTCTCATTCCTGTAGTAATTCTTCCTCGCATGGCAGATAAGGAAAGCACGCCAACCTTTCCAATCAAACACCCCTTCATAAGAGGTGTTAGGCAGACAGTATGCTTTGGAAGCAACACCAGATAAAACGGGGCGAGCATCCGATTTCTCCACTATGCGTGAGCGCCTCCTGCATGACACCGACACCGCTCTCCCGCGGTGCGGGATCTGCAGCTCTGCCTGCCCACCGCCGGCGTGACTCAACCCTTTTCGGTGCATTCCCCAGCCGAGCACCCGCGGTGACGGACTGCCGGAGCCGGAGCCAGCCGGCACCTGCCCCGCGCCAGCGCCTCCCCGGCAGCTCCCGCCCGAGCCGCAGGCGCCCCGCAAGGCGGCTGGCACCGCCGCGGGGATGCGCGGGGACCCGGGGAGGCGAGAAGGGTTTCATAAACCGGTGTCACAACTTGGCTTTCCGAGCCAGGCAGGGGTGCCGGAAAAGCCGGTTCCTAAAACACGGCAGACAGGCGGACAGTTGCGGCCGGGCTGGTTTTCAGTGTTATGAGCCCGCTGCCTGCCGGCCTCCCGGGTGAATCACGGCGGGTCCCCGCGGCGGCTCTCCCCGCACTGGGCTTCCCTTGACCCTGCCCTGTGCGCGGGCGGCCGCGGCGACGGGCACTGGCGGCGGGCGGAGACGTCGCCGCGCTGCGGGAAGGGAAGGAAGGAACCACGCTGGGTCGGGCCGCCCTGCGCCCCTCCGACAGGCCCTGCCGTGGGAACCCGCAGCCCGCCCGTCACCAGCGCCTCCGCCCAGCCCGGGGGGCGACACCGCCCCCAGCCGGCACCGCGGGCCCGGGCCGTCGGGGCTCGGGCCGTCCCCCGGCGAAGGGGCGGGGGCAGACAAGCTCACGGCCTCGCCGGCCGCCACGGCCCTACCCCGCACCCTGCGCCGCAGCACGGGCCGTGCCGGCCCGGGGCTCCGGCTCCGCCGCGGGAAGCGCAGCCCCGATCCCGGCCGACACCAGGAAGCGGCACCTCCACGGCACGGCGGGGCAGAGCAGGGCAGGGCAGGGCAGGGCACGGCACGCCGCCGTCGCCGCTGGAGCGGGTCTCGCTGCCTTACCCGCTGCAGAATCCGCCTGAACATGGTGGCAGAGCGCGGATGCCGCCGGGCGGCCTTGGCCAGACCGAAGGGAAGCCGCGGGGCCCCGCGCAGCGCCGCCCCCGCCCCGCAGGAGCCCGGTGCGGCCCGCTCGCCCCGTGACAGCCGCCGCGGCCGGGGAGGCGGGGCCGCCACCGCGCCCCGCCCCGGGGAGGGACGGGCCCCGTGAGGACGGGGCTGCGGCCGCCGCCCGGCCACGGGGAGCCGGGGGAAGGGAAAGGGGATAGAGAGAGGTGCAGGGGGCGCTGGGGGCTGCCCCGCGGGACGGGATGGGGTCCCGTGGGGGCCCGGGCCGCCGCCCCGGCCCAGCGCCGCAGCTCTCGGTGCGCTCTGCCCGGGTCTCCGCCGCCCGAGAGGGGTCCCGGCTGTGGAGGGCAGGGCGGGGGAGGAGGGCGGAGGTGTCTCAGGGCTCACTGGGTGAGGCAAAGTGCAAAGTGTTACTTTTTTACCACTGCGGCACTGAAAGTACTGAGATATGCGCGCTCAGTGAGGGTTGTTGAACCACACTTGTTTGGATAACTGGAAATGTAATTCTGAAGGAACAGTTCCTTCCTTCAAGCCCTCGACTGAAAATACGATCTTGTGGCATGAGGTTGTTTTTTAAATATCAGAAGAGGACATCTTAGCAGAGCACCAGTTGTGCTGCAAAGATCAAAAACATTTTTCTACTCAAAAGTTGACATTTCCAAGCACTCTTAAAATCCTCAGACTTTGCATGAGTTACAAGCACATGACCAGAAGGATTTGGCTGTCACAGCTTAAAGCTTGAGGCAAGGCAGCATTACATGGCTGAGTTCAGTTTGCTCCATCTACAGGTTCCAGTGTGTTTCCTGTTATTGTCATTAGGTCCACAACTGAGGCAGGTTAAGAGCACACACACAGTGGGTAATGGCTTCAGCTGATGAATGATCACACACAAGACATGATTTTCACGTGTCCATAGTATAAAATAGCTTTGAAATTTGGCAATTAGGTTTGTTTCTGAATTTTGTACATGGAATTAATAATGGGAATAGAATTGGTTTTGTACAGCTGTAGAGATCCTTAAATATCTAGGCAGACTGTAGACATTTGCTCTAAAGCTAATCAAAATTACTGCAAATTTTAATATCTCACTCCCTTTACCAGATATTTCAACAAGAGCAAGTGACAGCCTAGGCCATGAACTGCTGGAGTGCTCAGTTTGCCATACCCAAGTAACTTTAAGCAGCCCATCTTTACAGCACATTTTTTACTGTCCTAGGTTAGCAATTCCTGAGTGTTCAGAGGAAGATGATAGGGATTTGAGAACACTAGTTAAAAGTCTTACACTGCAGGAGGAGTTTCTTAGACAAGTCTAGCAAGGAAATACATGAGTGTGGATGTTTGAGTGAACATATGTGTCTGTTTCCCTGTCCAACCATCATTCCTTCAGTAACTTAACAATCCATGGGCCAATTTCAATCAAACACAACAGAGCCAGATAAAGCTCAAAGATATGAAGTTCCTACAAATTTAATCAGGTGGCCAGAGAGATGAGAGAGACACCTTATTGATTCCTGCCTGTAAGGAAAGACTGCAGTGTGACTGCCTTTATTCCATACCAGAGAATGCACATAAAAATTCACCCTTGGGGCAGAGATCTAGGGGGGGAAATATTAAATCTGTCTCATTTCCAGTGTATGTCCTTGGTTTTAATTATTGTGCATATGGTAATGCTTATGAATTCATACCATGGCCTGTCCTAGTATTGAAGTCTCAGGCTATATTAGTATATAGGCTCTGTCCTCAGACAAGGGAGCTGTGAAATTTCATTTCATCCAAGCTCATAAACTCTGTGAAGGGTTTGGTGACAGGAGGATTAAAAGGTGCCTTTTTAAGTAATCCATTGGCAGTGGAAAGTCTCAGATCACAATCACAGTAGAGATTTTTCAGAAACCAAGTAGGAACAGATACATTATCCTCTAAACAGAAGCTGAAGGCTGAAAGTCTGAACTATATCAACCTCTCGCACACCTGCCAAAGTCAGCATGCCTTTATTTCAGTAGAGAACTAAAATCAGTCTTTTGACTGTACAAGCAGTATTTAGGATGTGCCTGCAAGCACCAGCACCTCTCATATCTTCCAACAGATAACTTCTGGGTTTTGTTGGGGTTTGGGGAGGTTGTAGTTTGGTTGTTTGCTTTAATGGCTATGCATATAGCCAAATAAAAAGCAGTGATTTCTGGACCGTGGCTCACAATAATTGGTATCCACACAATCTTCTACCACAACTGGGTGCTACAAGGAACCACCATCACTTCGTACAAAACGGCAAGGAACATAATGTATATCCACAGCTTGCTTAGACTTGTGGCCTATAAATTTGCAAAGTTTCTGGCCTATTGTCCTGCGTGTTTCTAGTGTTTATAAAGATGATTATTTTCAGTCATGTAAATTCCTGACCTCAAAGTCTCTTCATCACAAGCTCCTTGGGTTCATGACATGGTACACTGGAAAAGTACCCATTTTTCCAAGATCTTGTTTTTAAGTATCCTGTTTATAAAATCAGCCTCCAGTTAGCATTCTTTTTCCTAGCTCTTTAACTGTACATTTTTGACTGTCACTATGTGCTGTTCATATACTTTCACCAAGTAGCCTTCAAATTTGCCTATAACTTTTTCTGAAGCTTTCTTCCTCAAGTTAAACTCTATGAAACTCAGTTGAACACAGGCTGTTTAAAGGATATAGTTTAGTTGACATGGCGGTTTATTTGGTCAGAAGTTGGACTTGATGATCTTCGAGGTCTTTACAAACCTTAATGATTCTATGAAAAGGATATGACAAAATTTGGAAGATTTGTGAAGTGCAGCTTTGGGAAAAAACGCATTTTCAACTGAAGGCAGAACTGCTTAGCAGCACAGATGGGCCACTGCTATATAATGGGGGCACATGGACCTTGCCAGACAGTGCTAAGGCTGCCTCCCTGCCTGTCACCTGTATATATAGGGTACATCTGCTCCACAGTAGCCATAGGAGAACTAAGATATACACTTAAGAACAGCTAAAAGGCTTTTCAGAGTTCTCAAAATATGAAACTCTGTTACTGATCTCACTATTTATGTAGGAATGTACTTTAAAATGGACAATGGCTAAGTGTTAAAATCTATCTTGCCTTCAAAACAATTCGATAGTTTAGACTGAACTCTCAATATTTTGTTATTGACCTTTTGTTTCCCCCTCAGCTTTATTACAAGAAACAAATGTGTTTAGTCTGGAAAAATATTTAGGGTGGTTTTAAAGTGGTGTTAACAAATCAAGATTAACTTGTGGCTTTGGCCACTAGTGCATAATTTTGTACTCAGCCCAAAACTGGTCCTCTGAGTAACATCCCCCAGCTACAAAAAAGGAAATACTCTCTATTGTGAAAAGAAATTGGAATCTTGTGATGAAGAGCATTATAGGAGAGTCCAATATTACTACTAATATTTAGTAAATTAGCAAATTTATTGGCAATCAATTAGGTGATGGTAAGCAAATGAGTTATGAGCAGTGAAAGACATGAATTCTATTGTCCTGTGAAGAACATATCCCACAGCTTCACCTTTACAGAAACTTCTTCTTCTGTCTTTCCAAGGCCACTCAGGGTCCCCACCACAGAGGAGACAGGATGTGCTGTGGTCAGTTCAGAGCTGCACAGGAGCTTGACTTGCTGATCTTTCCAGTAGCATAAACATGGATCTTTCACCTCTACCCAGTCATTCTAGTGTTCTAGTCTTCATTCTAGTGTGACAGAACCTGAATGCTGTTAAATTGGCACAACTGTCCCCAGGAAACTCCAATTAAGGACAGAAATAACAGAATTGTCTCTATTAAAACCAAAAAAATTTCTCCACTCACTGATTTTTTTTTTCTGTTCACCTCAAGACTGAATCCCTATGTAGTCTATGCCATGTAGCTTTGGTGGAGTAGCTGAACACACAGGCACTGGAACTAGAGAAGGCCCAGCAGCATGCAAGAGAACTTAACTCATAAATATGTGTGAGTTCATGGAAAAAATAAACCTGATATTAATATAACCAAGTCTGAGATGGAGAAGATCTGCTGCTGAGTCATGCAGAGCACTGTTTGCCAAATGCCTCGGCTAAGAAATTATTCTCCATAAAGTTGAAAGCCTGCCATGAAACAAATTCCACCATAAAAAGCTGTGGTGATACCATGGCCATTCCGATCCAATTACTCCAGAGACATTAGGACTTGCTGGCAAGTCTTCTAGGCACTTTCCAGTTAATGGCACACAAAATGGGTGAAAACGAACAAGAAAACGGGTTTGTGGAATTCCACTGCAGACTAAAATTACAGTAATTTAGAGAGCAGATTTCTTGGGGTTACTTATCTTCTCACTTTGGCATGTGCTAATATACATGTGTAGTTTCTCTTTCGCTGCTCTTAGACCCAAACTTACTCATCTCCATCAGTCTAGGCATGTTTGAGACGATTTCAAAGATTTTGAAGAAAATGCTTGAAATGCCAAATGAAATAAGTAGGGAAACTAATTATGCAGGTTGCAGGGGATGTCAGTATTACTGATTACTAAAATTAACCTTAGTAGGACTTTCCTAGTTACAGCAGAAACATAAGATGAATTTTCAATGTCATATATGAAAATTTAATGATAGTAGTTACGGGCATCATTTTGGTTACCCTTTTGCATATCTACAGAAAATGCTGAAGATCTGACTTGGGTTGGGTTTTTTTCAAACAAAAATCTAACCAAATGCATTAACAAGCTTTCACTTGGTGGTTTTGGTTTGTTGGTTTTGTTGGGTTTTTTTGCGGGGGGGGAGAGGAGGGTGGTTTAATATAGGAAAGTCCATACAGCACGGACTCCAACACTCTGAACATTAATGCTCTATTTGTTCATGGCTTTGTATATAAGTAGACGCAGTAAATGCTGGCTTTGTTGAGACTCACTGTGTACATGCATTGCATCAGCAATTCAGCCTAATATTTTTAAATGGCCAGAATACAGGCCGCTAAACAAAGAGGGCAAATTTTAACTATAAAAGGAGTTTGACAGGCTTTCTTAAAACAGTAAACAAATACTCCCATAGCATTACACTAATCTTACATTAATGCTTAATGGCATCTATTATTATAAAGTTAACCTCTCAAAGTCTTCTAGATTTGTATTTTAATGTTAGAAATCTACTGCATCTAGAAACCAAAATGCTATTTTTATGCTGTACAGCATTACACTGCTAAATGCTGGCTGGCCAGCCCTTGATTTTCTTGCAGTACTAGCCAAACCTGTCTATGTAGCAATTGCAGTAATGATTTGGACATGAGGAAGAATCTTGGGTGTAAGTAAAGGAGGATTAAAAAACTCTCTTGTTGAGAGGTTAAGCTTTTGGGGTTTTTTGAGCTACAATGTTCACACTAAAAGAGTAATGAGTAGAACCTTTCATTCATCATCTTCTTCTCCTGGCATAGAACAGGTAAGATTTGTAATTTCATAAAATACTGAAGTAAAAAAAAATGAACAAAAAACCCCACAAAAACCCAACCAACTAAACAAAACCAAAAAAAAAAAAACACACAAAAACAAAAACACAAAAAAAACCCCACAAAAACAACACACAAAAAAACACCCACCTACTTTTTTAATGGAAAATAAAATGTATATACCAAAGCCTAGGGCAAAGAGGCACTGGGAATCAATGAAGGAAAAAGTAACAAATGCATTTCCTGTAGGATGATGAAATGCTACATTTATATATAGTTATCAAGAATCAACCCTTCAACAGCTGAGGCTTCCCTATCATTAATGCCAGCTACATGCATTACTGGGTCAACTAACAATATAAATTTCATCTGGAACAAATACATATGCACCACTGAATTTCTGTATCTTCTGAGCTAAAAAGAGCATGAGTTACCTTTTTAAAGCAACTTTATACTTTCTGTTGACTAAAAGCTGATTGCAGGCAAAAATCTCCCCCATAAAAACCCATTTAAAGCTGTCCAGAAGAAAGTTATTGCTTTAAAACAATTTTAACGTGTTTTGTTAGGTAGAATAAGTCTGCACAAAACCTGGAATTTTGCTATTTGAGCTAGTAACTGTTTTTCTGATCTACTGTTAAGTACTCTGAAGACAGATTTACCAAGCCATGTAACCACAGCCTGGTCTCCATACCTCTCTTTTCATAGATAATTGTCAGCTGTAATGGTAAGAGCAATGTCAATGATGCCAATCTGCTCCAAAGAAATAAGTATTCAGTCCTTACTTCCAGCCTGGCATTATAATGATACTGAAATGGCTCCTCCAAACTGGTATACTACATATTGCAGAAGGCTGTAGGATAGGCCATTTCTGCCTCCAAAAGTTTTAAAACCAAATACACAAGAGAAGAATCATACGAAGAAAATATTTTTTTAAGATTTAAGATTACAAAACCAATTAAAATCCTCCAATCTGAAAAAGTTCTCAGTGGTGATTTAAGTACTTTGCTATAATATGAGTTTTGTGCACCAAAATCTCTTGATGAGTTTGCCAGGTGATTTGGAAGAGAAAGAAATGGAAATTCAAGTGTAGACTTTGAAGTTAGGGCATTTTATTCATATTAGACATTTCTGATCAGATACAGAGATTTCCCATAGCAAATAATAAATCTTTTTTTTTTTTTTTTTTTTTTGGTAGGCAATTAGACAATAATTTTTAAGCCTGTATACTGTATTCACAGACACTGGCAGTATAGCTGCAAAAAGAAAAGGATAAAAATGTCATTTTTCTTTAGGAAGGAGGCAAGGGTCATCTACTGCCACAGCATTTCTCAGCTGCCTAGCAATATGATGTCCACAGCCAATTTGTACAGGAAATCCATTTTATTGCCTGGCCCAAGGCTGAAAAAAGAAATGAGCAGGAATTCAGTGTTTCAAGACATTCATAGAAATCTCCCAATAGGTGTCAGATATTGAAGGCTGGACCCTCGACCCCCTTGCACACAGTAGGACCTGACCACAGTGAGGTGTTGAAATCAAATATTCCAGTCTACACTAAAGAAAGACAAGAACCATTACACAGGATTCATGACTGGGCTAGGCTTTTTTGGTCATCCTGACTTGATTCCCATTAAGGGCTGGGTTTTCTGTTGGGTAGAAACACAACTTGGGGCTCTGCTGACATGGAAAGGCAGACAGTGTGTTCATGTATCTGTCAGAGATACATGTATGAGACCGTTGCCAACCACTCAACCTGGTCTCAACTCTGAGGTCTCAAAAGGAGACCTGTGCCTTATAAATACATGGGATCTAGAAAGAAAAAAATATACATTCAGGTTCATAATTTTGTACTCTAAATATTGGGATACTAGATATGGAGCTATCTGTCTCATGGGGGCTTTGCAAGGAAGGGCTTAAAACAAGGAGTTTTGTGGAGTGGTGAGTAATTAGTTGCTATAAGCAATTTACCAAAGTGATCCATGAGTCTTACATTTCTAAAGGATCATTTGATGTTTAAGTACTGTTTTTATGAATGTAAGAAATAGTAGATATTAAAAGGTGCTCTCAGATCTGAGCAGAAATTGATGCTGAATGAGGTTACTAAATCGAAAAATTTTTTGAGAATATCAAAGATATTTTAAACAGATGTTGCAGTCAGAAATTCAAATTGTTGTGTTGGCTACTATAGCATCTTTGCATCACAAAAACAGTTACACGATTTTAACATGACGGTACATACAGTCCACTTTCAACTGACAAGGTCCTGGCTATTTCCTACCAAGACAAAACTATGTAAAGGCTAGAATTTTGTACAGTTACTGTTTGCTCTTTCACAGTGACCTTTTAGGATCGTTTAGGACTCATCCAGAGGATGGATGGGATTTCAGCTCTACAAGTTACACTCCTTTGCATCTGTAGGGTCATCACACAAAACCTGAACCACCCAACAGCCTGTGATGGCTGGGGAGGCCTCTGGAGCTTCTCTGTTCTTCTCCAGAGCAATCTCCCAGCAAGGCTCTCTCTTCATCTCTGCTCTCACTGAATCCTCCCTTGAACCCACCAAATGCAGTTTTACTAGGGTCTTTAGCATGCCCTTCTTCCCAAATGTGTCCCTGTCCATTCTTTATTTGTGATACCACTGGGAACGTCTGCTTCCTCCACAGTGGTTTGTGTCATTCTCTGAAAGCTGAGCTGACACAGGCTGTGCCCCATGGCAGCATACCTCCATCAAGAGACTACATTCATCAAGCAACACACCAGGGGAGCGACACTGTCTCAAAACAAATCGCATTTCCTTTCCATATATCAAAGGATATTTCTAAGACCTACAGCTGATGGCAATACTTTTCCCAACAATTGCAGCCCAAGAAACAAAAAGCTGGTTATCCAGTCCTAGGCAGAGACGCTGAAAGAAAACTATTGTCATCTGATGGAGATAATGCATCACAGCAGTTCCTGCTAAAGCAGAGGACCTCTGAGCCATTCTACCCTTCTACCTCTACCAGCACAGCCCAAAGGGCAGATCATATGATGATTCCAAGTGCCTTTTCGAAGCATGTTTTAGTACACCATTTACCTGGAGATTTTGTTGTTGTTTATCTCTTTCATCCTTAGGTATTTACATTTAATAAGTAGACTACATGTATTTTTGTGGCTGATGCTTCACAGTAGGAAATAAAAAATACTTAACTGTATCTGGAGAGCCTTCAAGGGGATCCTAATCCTATATTGAACCTCAGACCCATTCATCCTCTTTCCAGGAAGCTGTCCAGAACCTTCTAATTTACTCTTACCACTTCTTTTTCCTTATTTCACTGCCCTACGCTCGTAAATCAGGCAAACCACTGCGTGCATGGTATATCCAACACCACTATGGAGCAAAGGCAAAATGGAGGATGGGTTTCCTCCAGCCCAGGATCTGTTTTGCCCTATTCCCTGCTAGAAGTCAGCTGCCTCCCAAAAATGCTTCTCTTCTTTGGTGTAAAGTTTAGGTCAAATGTCTCTGCAAAGCAGTGATTTCTAGAACAGTACAAACCCGAGAAATTTACCATTACTATACCAGGAAGATTTTATAGCTATACCAGAAGGAACAAGATGCAGGGGGCTCCTATAACTAGCTAAAAATCTACTAAAATATTTATGGGCTTGTCATAGCACACAGGCTCTGAGTCACAACTCCCAAGGCTTCCACTTAACAACTAAAAGGGAGAAATGATCATAACGTTTTTCTCAGTGAGTGATTAAGACTGCTTTTAACAATGCAGTCATGCATGTACTAAAAGGGGTGATTCATTAATTTCTTGGAAGAGGAGCATCTTCTTTTCTCAGTTCAGAAGCTGGAGGGATTAGCCAGTGCCCCATGAACAGGGCTGATTAGCATGTAGAAAGAGAGGAAATACTGGCTAATTTGTCCTATCCCCACATCTGCAAAGTTCTTCTCATTAAAGTAGAAAAAAAAATAGGGGAATTTTGTATTCAGAAGTGTCATTGTTTAGTGGCATAGTTTAGACTTTGCATAAGTCTGACACCAGAGCTGGCTGCTGGCAGCAACTAGCAGCTCCCTCTACTGCCCTGCAGTCACAGGTCCCTGCAGCCAGCCCAGAGCATGATCTTCATGGCCCCAACGAGCAGCCAAAATAGCAATACCAGCTGCTGTGCACCTACTTTCTGAGGTTGCCCTGGCATATACATGAGAAGTTTGTTCATCCAGATTTTTGTGGTGATTGCCTCTGCTGAAATAAAAAGGAACAGTTACAGGTAGAACTGACAAAGAGGATGATGACAATAATGTTGGCGTTTTTTATTTGAACCATAGTTCAAATCCTGAAATGAAATTTATACCAACTCCTCCCAACTTTCCACCATCTTAAGTTTGTTAATGCTAATCTTCTTTTAAGATGAGGCCATGCGTAGAGTAATGAATATGCCACTCCCAAGCCATTTTAGGTTTGAGTAGCCCCACATTTTAAGGCATTCTTTGCAACACCCTGGTGTTGCAACACAGTAGTGTGATGGCATAACCATCTGAAAGGTAATGCTGAGTTGTCTTGCAGTCTTCTTCCTGTGAGAAGAAACGATGTTGCCAAAGCTTGCATGCAAAACATTTCCAACAAGCGGAAATTGATGTTGCTGTGTTTTCATCACAACAGGTGTTTAAAATTTATGACCAAGCACAAAGCAATTTTTTTTTTCTGAGGAGACTACTCAAAATTGTCACATAAAAGAGCTACATTTCTTTCCCCTTTTCTTAGAGTCTAAATATCAGATACAAGTATAACTTACATGCAGCTCATTTTGCATGCTTCTTACTGCAGACTCATGTAATAATCATCTGGACACACTGTACTCAGAAAACTGGTAGCAATTCCAAATTGATGCATGTGACATGGCATCAGCTTAATGATGTTCAGTATCTGCAATGCTAGTATACATGCAATGCCCTTGCATCCAAACAACCACCACACTATTCCTAAGTACACCTGTATCCTGGATTCAACTAATTTCATAGAAACTCTGCATCACTCATGCTTGGGCTAAGCCTTTGTCTAAGTGTTTCTCTCTCTGTTTTTGCTCAGTTTTTCTTTTGACCTAATCCTGGCTACCTGTTTTTCCCTTTCACTGCTCTTATCTGCTGGCCTAGGTTGCCTCCTTGGCTGCTGCAGCACCAGATATTTAAGCAAAATCATTCACCTTCTTCTCCCTTACTCATGCCTCTGTTTTCTTGAAGAGGTCAGGGTGGGATGAAAGGAGGTGCAGCCTCCACATCCCAGGACAACCCTGACCCATATGAAGTGTTTAGCAGTGGCCAAGCAACCCCCGAGCACTTCCCTTCCCAAACACATTTGAGCAGTATTCTGCCGTGAACATGGCCTACCCTGAACTCTCCTGAACAGGTTAATATTTATGATCTGAATCCCTTCTATTCCACCTTGAAAAGTGCAGAGTATGCTTCCCATAATATAGGAGTGGAAAAAGAGTCTCTCTAGGTACCTGTCTAGCTGAGTTCCTGAAAAAAATACCTCAGGGATTTTGGTTTATATTATTCATTATGTAAGAGTTAAGCTTAAAGCCTTGGCTACAAGAATTCCATGCAATAAAATTCCAAACATACAATTTGAAGGAAATATATCACTACTGAAGTAAGAAGTACTTCAAAAAAAAAAAAAAAAAAAAAAAGAAAAAGATTTTTTTTCAATTCAAAACCATGGTATTTTGAGCTAAAACAAGGACAAATTTTGTGGTTTTGAAGGTCAAAAAAATTTCTCTTGAAAACTAAACAACTGAATTGAAATGTGGCCAGGGTTTCTTTTCATTAAACAGTGGAATATACTGACCAAAAGAAGGATCTTCTATAAAAAATCTCATCTTCAGTCAGAAAGTTTAAATCTGCTGAATCTCCTGAATATATGCACAGAACATATTGGACACCAAATGAAATCATCCTCATTATATATACGTATGTGGCCCCGAAGAGCAATTTATTCCATATAAAAGCAGAGCATTATGAATTCCATATGTGAGGTGTTATGTAACTTACATTATTTTTTCTTTCACCATTATGCTTCAGCTTCCACCAAAGACTTCAAAGACAAGTAAAACATTAGTAATTTAACTGGTGATATATAATACTCATATTTGTCATCTCTGGCAAGGTTCTGCTTTTAAACTTAAGTTAAAGAAATTAATTTGTGTCCTAAGAGACATAAGTACATAAATTTCACTGCAGCAGACCTCTGATAATGCTGAACACAGAGCAAGGTCAGACCTTGGGAAGGAAAAGCGAGCACAGTGCTGAATGACTGCAATGATTACTATTTTCTGTAACTCTTGAAAACTTGTATGCTGTTCTTCTGACACTTACTTGGAAATGGTTGAATCATTTTAGCTAAAACATTTCCTACCTTCTCCCCTTGGCTCCCCACGAGAAACAGCCAAAGGCATTTATTTAGCATTGAAAACATCTGAACAATGTATTCACACTTAAGAAAGCATGGAAGAATTGAAAACAGCATAATTTAGTGGAAAAAGCTGGACAGTCTTTTCCTAGGAGCTATTACCCATGCCTTGCATAATGAAAATGTGGCTATTTTACTTTATCAGTAATTCACTGCCCTTGTTACTCTGCCACTCTCTATAATGGTTAATATATAACTCACCAATGTGTCAGTTCTTCCCTAAAGTGTTACTTTCAGGCACTGCAGGGGAATTCCCTTTGATATCTGTGCCAGAGCAAAGGTACACTGGCAGCTGCAGTTTCACAAAGGGGAACTTTAGCTGCAAGGACAGCTTGGGAATGTCTGTCTCCCATCCCTGCCTTGCCTCCGGCTGCTTCTTCACACTCATGCTGCTCTGCAACTGTTGTTGGGTTTGTGCTGCAAATCAGGTCACTGAGCTGATCCAAATTACAAACAGCCTTTTTTACTTACAGAGTTGTTCTTAATACAGGTTGTTTTTCGTACCAGAATAATGCCAGAAACTGCAGTGCTGGTGCAATTGAGGAGACAGGGCCCTGGGACAGAGAGCAGAGTAAAGCATTTGGGATAGTGGGCACTGGGGAGGAAGCATGCTCAGATGGTGTCTTTTCCACTAGTAAGGGTAGGATACAGTCCAGAAGCTGTTGTCATAAACTATTAACAAACAGAAAGTTCACACACAAGTGGATCATGCATTGTTTTTTTTTAAAAAAAGACTAAAACTAAACACTAAAAATTGCTCCATGCATGACTTCTGCAGAAAAAGTAACTACAGAAAAAGTCCTAGAGAACTTGTGTTTGCATATATATATGTGTGTATATATATATGCACATGCACACACACATAAATGTATATTCATACTCATATACACACAAAAAAAATCTCAAAATTTAAAAGAAATGCAAAATCCATCTCACTTAACCTTTTTTCCCAGCCTTCAAAGCCTGCATTCAGCTCTGAGCCCCTGGATGGCCGGTTCCTAAAAGCAACAGCCATAAAAGCCTATAGAGGGAGCAGGTCGCCTTCTTTTCCTGAGCTAAAGGAGTTTTCAACCTTAGGTGATGACCCTGAGAGGATGAAAACGTCTTAAGGAGCAGAGCCCTAAGCAACGGCCAGAGCCAGTTACCCTGCAACCAGGGGGAGCAGCAGTAGCAGAATCCGCCTCTCAGGACATAGGCAAGAGAGCTGCAGATCCATACCTGTCATCTTTTCCTCCTTCCCTCTTCTTCATTTTCACACTTTGTGTCCTACAGGGAATCATGGATTTCTCAGTGTTTTCCCTTTTCTGCAGTCTGTGGGGTGTCCCAGCACTTCAGGCTCTTCTCTGCACTTAGCAGGATGGAGATTTTTTTGCTTGGAAGTTGAGCAGAATTTCATATTAAAACACCTATGATTGAAGTAATAGAGCACTGCCTAGAAGTAAGGGAAAAATGCAGTCAGAATAACCTGGTATTTCCTGTTGAACAAAAAGAATAACTAGAAAATGGCTAACCATGTCACAGATAATGTAAGAGAAGTAGTATTAAATAGAGACAATACTAAAACTGCATTCAGAAGACAAAATATAAGAAATACCAGAGTTAGTTATTATCAGTAGAGGCTTTGTGACTGAAATGAACAGTATGTGTATTCAAATTCACATGTGCCTACACAAAAATTTCTAGTAGTCTTTTACCCATGTATACCTGTATTATAGTTCCAGAAAGCTGGTAGTTATTAGTATGATGGCAAAGCCCAGAAGGCCTGTCCTAGACAGACTTTGCTATGCATGACCCAAATCTGTACCAGGACCTTTTGTCTTACCATGTTTATTATAATGCAATGAAAGAGAGGGGGGGTTTTTCTTTATCTTATTCTTTTTCTTTTTGAAACAGATAGGGAGCTGTGACCAAAAAAAGTTTACAGAAACTGGACCTTACCAAATCAACCCAGTTTCAGCCTTAGAAACCAAAAGACTAGTAACTAAAAACTACGTGTTTGGGAGCAATGACTCTACTGAGATTCTTGACTGAGTAGTATGTGTGTTCCCAACTTAAAAGTAGCAATTAGAAATAAAAAAATGATGCACAGTACATGGCAAATACATATGCATTATTTACTATGTTGCACCTGTGAGTTCTTGTAGAAAGACTGGCCACCAGAGTGTGCACCAGATAACTTAGGCTCTGGTACAAATCTAAGAATGGGCATAAAGCATGCAATATTTATAAAAAAAATTATACTAAGAGCTCTTCCCCCCATGCACTAAGGTCTAATAATACTTTAGTGTTTGTCTCCTGGGGAGCAAAAGCAGGTCTTAGCATTGCAACATAAATAGTTAAGCATAAGTCATGCAGCTGTAAAAGAGAAAAGGAACATTCTATGTCCTTCAATTCCCAGGCAACGCAGCATGACAAATAAAATTAGAAAAAAAAAAAAAAAGCTATACTTTTCATCAGATAACCTAAATAATATGTTTCATCTTTTGATAAATGTTTGCTTTTTTTTTTTTTTAAATCATTACAAAAAGGCCATTTGAGGAATATATTCTGCACAACGATGTGATTCAGCAACTTTATGGAAAACAAAAATGCAGTCCTTTTTTCGGTGCACTAATGAAACACAACTGGCACTAATTTTCAAAGAATTGAACCTAACTGAAAGCAGGCAATGTACCATGTATGTTGAAGCTCAGTGGTCTTACATCACAGTATTATTTTTCATGGGTTTTTATATATTGAAGATGAGCTGAACATACCCTGCTTCTAAATCAGGCCAGTGATGATAAACACATTACTGCACAAGCTGTTGTGTTCCCAAGAATGGCTCAGCAAATACATTTGCCTTTGTATCTAAATTCTAGGTAGTTTCTGTCCATACCAATATGAGAGACCATTGTTTCTGAGTATGTCCCAAGGCCATATCCACAGAAAAGTTATCCAGCAGTTCCACAAAGACAAAGCCCCCTGTCATGATCTTGCCATGTCATAACATTTTTTGCATAAGGGCACTGAATGGTACTCAGTAACATCACTGTAGACACACTGCATAATTTTGCATACTGGGTATTTTTTACTCAGGAGTGCTCCAAGTCTGGGAAATGAAATCAGGATCAAAAGAAGTAGAAAATCCCCCACAGTGACACACAGGGTAGTCAAAAGGATTTAGGAAGACATAGGGCCCTGGTGCTTCATGGGTGTGTTTCCCATTAAAAATATCCTAATAAAGAGATCCTCGTCTATTTAGCCGGATGGAGGAGCTGTGTCTCCAGGCAGGCATGATGTGGTAGCCAGCCATGACAAGTGACGAGTGCCTGAGCTGGGATGTGCTGCATCTCCTGGCTTAGGGCACATGATGCTTTTTCTCCAAGCAACATGAGGGAGTGACAGACAGCATGTACCACTGCAACTATTCCTGCCTCGAGACACAAAAGAGCTGCCACCGCAGCTCTGCAGCCGACAGCGACCTCACCGGGTGAGGAGCAGGTCCCACACTCTCTGCAAACCCATCTGAAGATGAAAAGTGCTGCATAAGCACCCGCCCTTCCTGTTCCTGGCAGAGCTGCATGGGGATGTTGGCACTCAGGACCTGTGTGCATGGCTAACCACTAACCAGCATGGAGCCTCTACTCTCAGAAGCACTCTCCAAATATATTGCCATTTGCAAAAGGAACAGTTATTTTGATAACAATGTCTTTCAACGACTAAGTGGCCAGGGTGTTGCTACCATTAAATAGCTGGCAGAATTTCTACCATAAATACTTCTATCAGGCCATTGTATGTCAGCTGTAAAAACTTGTTCCAGTTGATATTTGGCAAAAAAGACCCAGCAAGATAAACCTTTCTTAAACACATTATGCTATTTGAGCAATCTACAGATATGTAAATCAAGAAGTTTGCAAGTATAGGCCCCATTGACAACTTTGCTGATGCTATGGCCATTGGGGGAAGTGTGAGTACTGGCCATCCCAAAGTGCTTGGTTTAGGGCTTTCCTTTTACCTCCAGATTCCCAGAATGGTTCATGCAAAAATGCTGGGAAGGCACAGGGCACAGCAGACAAGTTGCAGTCAACAAGGAAACCCAGAGTAGAGTTTCCCCAGGAAAAAACTCACCTGAGAATGCACATATAGCAAGACACAGATCATCCAGTGTTTTGCTTAGCCATACACATGCCTCCTTTCAGATCTGGAGCTAACCAACTTTTCCAGGTAAGTGAAAGAAAAATTGCAGCTATTTCTGTCTCAGGGGAAATATCTGCTGTTGCTGCAAAATTAAACCAGTTTCTTGGTCCTAATGCCATTAACACTGCACTGGCTATGCAGCCCTCTTATGTTTCAAAAGTTTTCCTGTGGGTTCTACCACATCTGACGTGTACTTTGGTGCAAAACATGTCAACTGGCCCTCCTGAATGGAGATTTCCGGATGTGTGCAGAATATCCCCAGGACAAATAAATGGTTAAATACAACAGGACTGGAAAGCTCAGCACTGAACAAATAGTAGCAACTTTTCATGTATTAATGTTAAAGTATTCAGAATTTATAGTCAGAAGCACTCTTATCATTGATTTCATTGTTAGAAGTCTGTTACATCTATGGGGTTTTTTTTAAATGTTGAATCTCATTTCCAAATGGCCTGAGGGAACAACAACCACAACAGTAAAATTAGGAACCCATTACTGAAGATAAAATTAGAATAACTAAGCTCAACACTATACAGGGAAAATGGAGTGTTAAAATGTATGAGGTAAAATGTTTTCTAACTATCCTAATGTTAAAGTTCATTTTGTCCTTGGAATGAGCAAGGGCAGAAATTTGTGACAAGCTACCCCACTATTAAACCCAACTGTGGTTTGTGCAATATATGCTAGATAAGTATATTTTCTCTGGATACTTAAGGCAAAAGAGGCTTAATAACATATCTTTAATTACTTTTTAATTAAAAAGCCTTTTTTAAAAAATACTTTTAACCCTCCCTTCCTTCAGGATTGTGATTCTGGGAAGTCCTGAGACAACAGACGGTTTACTTTTCAGTCCTGCTTATACAGGAAACTTGGAGGGATATCTCAAGTGAAAAAGATTCTTCAGCAAGTGTGGCAAAGCCACTGCTATCACATTTATCACTTTGGTGGCAAAGCAGCAGAAGGTGACAAATACTCACCAATCTGTACTAAGGCAACCACTCAGATACTCTGTAGTGAAATTTTCTGAGGTAGGTAGGACTAATGTTTCAGAGCATACTTACTATCATGCCCTGGGTTAGAGTTAGGCTTCCCTTATCACTCCTGAACAAGTGAAAGGGACATGCTCACATCATCTGTGCATAGTGCATGCACAGGTTGTGCAGGCTGGGGAATGACAATTCCTTCTCACAATGATGTTGAAAAATGCATTACCTTTCTTTTTTTTTTTTTTTTTAATAAGGAGTAAAAAAAGAAACAGCATATTCCAAAACCAGAAATGGGTTGTAATAGCCAATACTGGATAAGAGGGGCAGGGGCAGTCTGCAATACCTTCTCACATTAGATAACCCCCGCTTCCTCCCCCTCTTCCAGTCTCAAACAAGTGGCTGTAATAAACTGTTTAAGGCAACATTGTCATAAACATTCACCAAACATTCTGATGAAAGGGAATCATTAAAATAAAAAAAAATAGGGTGATGAAAACACTCTGTTTAGAGCATTGCTTCATGTTGGTGAACAGCTCATTTGCTATTCCTGGGTATTAGAATCGAGCTCAGTGCTTTTGCAATAGATATTTTTAAATAAAGGTTAAAGAACACGTTTGTCTTATGTTACATACTTGAAATGTCTGTGGAAATAAACAGGCACCCAGTTCTTACCAGAGTGTCTATAGGTCTTGAAACAAGCAGACAGGCCAAATACACATGGGTTTCACAAACTATTCTGCAGCAAAAATCTGCAAATACGAGCTGACTCCTTATCTCCACTTCAATCAAATGAGCTTATTGTTAAAGTTTTACAAAGCAACCCAGCAGCAAGGTGAAAGATGAAGAGATTATTGAATAATAGATAAGAATATTTTTAGTCATCTCAGATGTATTTATGTATCTCAGAAAGCACCAGGAAAAAAAACCTCGGAAAAGTTCTGGCTGAATTCCAGCAAAAGCAACTCGACAGTCAGGGCCCTGTGAGGGCTGGGGGCTTCCCATAAGACATGGCAGGGCAGAGCCTAAAACAGAGCTGCTGCAAGGGCACCAGGGAAGCCAAGACAGTCCCAGACACGGGCACTGGGCAAGTCTGTGGGGATGGGGACATGGGCCTACACGTGGGCCCAGCTGGGGGTGCCCATGGCTGAGCAGGGCTGTGGGCAGCTGGAGCGTTGCTGCAGCATCACTGGGGCACAGATCAACAGCCCCAGCGGGCTGACATGGGGTCCTAGGCTGTACACAAGGTGGGGGGAACCCCG